TCACACGAGTGTTCTGTGGAGTGGCGGCCAGGGCTACTGAGCGAGGAGACCCCTCCGAGGACCTGAGGGCCCACTTCTGCAGGTGCGGGAGGGGGAGCAGGCCTGGCCCCTGGCCTGTCGTGTGTCTTGGGCTCTGTGCAGGCTGCGTGGGCCACCAGGGCCGCCACCACTGTCGAACCTCTTTTTCTCTTTGGTCAGATATGGTGCGAATCGCCTTCACAAATGCTTCAGAAAAGAACTTTGCTGAATTTTTTAACCTCCACAAAACTGCCAAGGTGAGAAGAAGCCGTGGTTTTCGAAGGCTGACCCCAGGCTGGCGGGGGACCCTACCTGTTTCCTCTGTCCGTTCCCGGCCTCTCATTGGCTCCTGGAGAAGCAGTTCCTCCACCAGGTCGGGTTGGAGCCAGAGGAGGGTTGGGGAGGGAGAGAGCAGGCAGAATCGCAGCCTGTGACTCTCAGGAGAGAGGCCGCCTTGGTCAGGTTGGAGGTCACAAGGTGGGCGTGCCCCCAGCTGGGGCCCTCAGTGAGAAGCTGAATACAGAAACAGCATCTGTGGAGAGTGAGCAGAGAGCGAGGAGTGAAGGAGACCCTCGTGCCCAGGGGACAGGCGTGGCCCAGAGCCCAGCAGGGCCACCTGGGGAGAGGGCTGCTCAGTGGGCTCAGGACCCCAGGGCTCTGACCTCAGCTGGGGTCAGGCCTGATGAGCAGGGGGTGGCCCAGGCTGCCCCAGGCCGTGCCGTGCTCACCTTGGTGACCCAGGCTGTGGGCATGCTGATGACCCACTGCCTACTGCACGGGTGACTTGGTGGAGGAGGCTGAGCTGTGTCTCTCTCACCGCAGTCCAAGATTGAGGACATCAGGCTGGAACAAGAGCAAGGAGCGGAGAGGTGCATCCGGCTTCACTTTCAGATGGAGCAGATCGTGTACTGCCAGGACCAGGTCTACCGGGGCGCGTTGCAGGGCGTCAGGGAGAAGGAGGCAGAGGAGGAGAAGAGGAAATCCCACGGCCAGAGCCAGTCTGTCTCTGCAGAGGAGTCGTCCATGGCTGAAATCTTCCAGCACCTCGATGCCTATCGCAAGGTGCGTGTGCAGGGTCTCCATCCTAGGGGTTCTGTGGTTTCCCTGCTGCCTGAGCCCCGCTCTGTCTATGGCACGGTGGCTGTGAGGTGACCATCAGCCAGCTCCACCTCTCAGGTCTGGGTGAGCGTCCCTGGGGGCAGCTCCACCTCAGGTAGACAGAACTGGTTGTGGCTTAGAGCACGTGGTAATCTGGCTTCCACTGGCTGTGTGGCTCTGGCCAAGCCGCTTACCCTCTCTGAGACTTGGATTCTTCTCTGTGCAGTGCTGTCTCATGGAGAATGTTCCGTGAGAGGCGTGTGGGCGAGTCTCCCAGCACAGGGTTGGGATGGCTTGGCAGCTCACAGGGACCCATGTCCTGGAGACGCCTGCTTGGCCTGGCGCTGCCTTTGCTCCCCATGTGAAGTCACAGGTGCAGCTCAGGCGGAGCTTCTGGGGCCTGAGCATCTGCAGAGTGAGGCGCTGGCCCCTCCTGGTTTCCAGACCCAGCCCTCCCCACTCTGGGCTGCGGTGGGCAGAGTGTCTCTGTGTGCACCTTGCACAGCCCGCAGCTCTGCCTGGATGCCCTGTGCCTGGGGGGGCCAGGGGCACTGTGGCTCGTGGCCTGGCGCAGCGCATGGGTCCAGGTGGAGAGCACCCTTGGAGGCAGGGCTGGCATCCAGGGCCCAGCCCCATTCCCTGCAGACTCAGGGCTGCAGACCCGGAGTGAGCTGATTGGGGGTGGCAGGAGTGCAGGGCCCATCCCGCAGCCCCTGGCACCTGTGTGCTCAGGCTGCCCCACGGGGCACAGGGGATTTTGGGAGAGGGCGAGGTGTGACGGAGCAGAAAGGCTGACCCTGCAAATGCGTGGCCACCACCCCGTGGGAGCTTGCAGCCTGCCCAAGGAGCAGCCCTTCTCCAGGGTCTTGTGGCTGCTCCCAGGTGACTCCGTGCTCTGCAGAGCTGCACTGCACCTGCGTGTTCTCCTCCTTCTGCACAAAGGCTCGCAGGCTGCCCACGGCCCTGCACCTGGCCCCTCGTACTGCTCCCTGGAGATGGGTCCACTCAGATGCCAAGAGCAACCTGGCTCCCCCAGTGACTGCCCAGTGTCCCACGTTAGGGTGGAGCACAGGGAGTCCGTCACCTCTTGACAGCACCATCTCTTTGCAGCCTCTGCTACCACAGGGAGGTTGCAGAGGTGACCCTGTCCACAGCCCATGCCTGTGGAAGCCTGCAGTGCCCGAGCCAGGTTCTGCAGGCAGACAGGACCAGAGGGATATGTCTAAGAAGTCAAAAATTGGCCAATGACTGTGGCCAGTGACTGCGGAGCTGGAAACTGGGGCCAAGTGAGCCGAGACCGCGGCTGGGGTGTCCTCTTGCCCTGAAGGCCTTTCCCTGACCGGAAAGGCCCACCCACAATGTAGAGTCATCTGCTTACTTAGGGCCAGCTGACCCTTGCATGCCCAGGTCCCAGCATGTCCCCCAAGGGCCCCTTTGCCCGCAGCCGTCCCCCCCTGCACAGCAGCTGGGGCTCCCACCACTCGCCCCAGGCGCACCATGCTCTGCTCCCTCTCAGCCTCCCCTGCAGCAGCCACTGGGTGCTCCTCGCCTGCCTGGCGTCTTCTTCGCTGGCATCTGACCACAGGCTTCATCTCCTGGGCCATCCCAGAGGGTCCTGCCCTGCACCCTGCCTCCCAGGGAGGGAGACTGAGCCCCAGGGAGGCCGCAGGACCTGCCAAGCCCCAGCACGTGCCCATTTGCTGAGGTCGGCCTGTGCAGAGGAGCCGTCAGGGCTGTGGAGACGGGGTTTGTGCCGAGCGTGTTGCTGCCTGGTTTAGGAAGGTCTGCCTCTCCCACGAGGACGAGCCGATGGTCAGGGAGGCTGGGAACACTCGCTCCAGCTCGGTCTTGGACACCTGTGGGGTGGTTCTCTGCCCCGTGCAGGGCTCCCCCCGTCCCCAGCACAGAAGCCTCTGTCGGGACTGAGCCCAGGCGAGGGCCTGCACCCCCAGTCTGGGTCCGTCCAGGGTTCCTGTGGGGAGGTCAGCGTGCCCTGCTGACCTGGCCTCGGCTCCTGTGACCTGTCCCTTCCTCCCAGGAGGCTCACAACCGCATCTCCAGCCTCGTGCCCTTGATCGTCCAGTTCTTCGTCCTGAAGACGTTCGGCCAGAAGCTGCAGAAGGCCATGCTCCTGCTCCTGCAGGACAAGGACGCCTGTGGCTGGCTGCTGAAGGAGCGCAGCGACACCAGGGACAAGAGGAAGTTCCTGAAGGAGCGGCTCTCGCGCCTGACCCAGGCTCGGCACCGGCTGGCCAAGTTCCCTGGCTAAGGCTGTGTGCACCAGGTCCACAGCACAGGGAGGCGGCCCTGGCCTTTCCTGGTGGCTCTGTGACGACTGTCCCCCAGTAAAGAGGGAGCATGAGCCCGGCTGCCCAGGCAAGGGCTCTGCTGGCCCCTGGATGAGGGTTGGGGGCTCTGGGAGCCTGTGATTCCCCGTGGTCAGAGGAGAGCCCTGAGCTGGGCCAGAGGGCTCAGCGCCCTGCCAGTGTCCTTCCTGATTTGTAATGTCCTCTCAGGAGCCTTGTCTTGCTGTGGGTGGGAGGGCTCGTGGTGGGTGTCCACCTGTCCCGAATAAACCCTGCTGCCCGGCACTTCTCTGACACGTTTGTACCTGGGGAACCCTGAGTATGGCAGGAGGAGGGGCCTTGTGCCCGACCTGCCCTGACGCTGCCCTCCCCAGGGCCTGGAGGACAGAGGACAGCAGCGTCCTGCTGTTTCCTAGAGATGGCCGGGAAGGGGGCAAGCTTGGGAAGCCATGACCTCAGGTTGTCACTGGTACCTGCTGGGCGCCTGGCCTGCAGGTGATGCTCTCTGGGTCCTGGTGGAGAGGATGCTCTGCCAGTTCTGCTGAGAGGTCCTGGCCGAGAGGGCGGCTGGTGGGGTGTGCAGGACGGAGAGGCCCTGTGTGGCCAGCAGGGAGACCATGGGCAGCCACGAGCCACACCCCACACCCGAGCCTCCGGGCTGCTGCTTGACCTTCATCCCCTGGGGCCACCAGGTCGGAGGGCAGCCGTGCAGCAGTGCCCCGGGGATGGGGCACCCGTGGCCTTGGCCCTCAGAGGAGCAGTGCAGCTCTGGCCTTCAGGAAGGCCTGAGCCCACACAGAAGGCAGGGACCACCCCAGGCACGAGGGGCAAGGACCAAGCAGCAGAGGGACATTGTCTAGGACACTCAGGCCGACCAGTCCTGCTGGCCTGGGGTCCCTGTGCAGCCACAGCCGGGTGATCCTCTAACTCTGCTGCCCGTTGACAGGGAGGGCCTCAGGCCACACTGGACGCTGCCTGTCAGGGGCAGGGTGGGTCTGGGTTATGCCCCTGCCCCTCCCATGCACACCCCCACCCAGATCTCTTCTGACCATGAAGCTTCTTAATCAATCCTTGGACGGTGTCGGGTTCGCCTCCAAGACGGGAGGCAGGAGGACTGTGGGCTCGGCATAGTCCGCAGCTGTGGCAGGTGTCTCCACGAGTTGGGGGCTGCCTGTGCCCCTGCAGCAGGACCCGGAGCCCGGGAGCTCCAGAGCTGACCGCCGGCTGCAGTTGGGGAAAGGACTGCGCCAGTTCATGAGGCTGGGTGGGCAGGGCCACTCCTTGTTTGGTTTTTTTTTTTATTTTTGTGGTGCTGGGGATTGAACCCAGGGCCTTGTGCATGTGAGACAAGCACGCTACCATCTGAGCTGTGTCCCCAGCCCCAGTGCCACTTCCTAATGGCCCCAAGTCTCCAAAGACACCACTTATCCTCTCCCTCCAGAGACACCCCCAGGTCTCTCCCTCCAGGCACCCCTGGCCTCTTCCTTCAGAGACACCCCTGGCCTCTCCCTCCAGAGACACCCCCAGGCTCTCCCTCCAGGCACCCCAGGCCTCTCCCAGTCCTGCTTGGGAGCAGCCCTAAGGCTGATGCGTTCGCAGTGGCTGCCGTCCTCTGGTGGCTGCCGCCCTCTGGTGGCTGCTAGAGTCATTGCCCATGGCCAGGTCCCTTGGCAGGCTCTGCCCAATCTTGCAGGGACTTGCAGTTCTGTGGGACAGAAATGGAGTCTGAGGTTTCCAGACCTGACATGGACTCTGCTCTGCTGTGTGCAGTTTTCCTGGAGATCCCTGGAGGGTCTGGGGGGGAAGGTGGGTCTGGAGCACCTGGTCTCTAGAACCCGGTGGCCCCTGGAGGCTGGACCATGCTGGGGAGGAGCTGGGGGCTGGCGTGAACCTTGCTCCCTGACGCTCTGGACTCGTCTGTCCTCTCCCAGGCCAGGGCCTCCGCCCTCAGTACAGTCCTCCTGTGGCACAGAGCTGGTCCCCTACCAGCGTGGGGAAGCCCCAGGGCAGGCTCAGTCCCTTGAGGAAGGAATGGATCCCAGGGGCAGACCCTCCCCCAGGCGGCCATGAGCCCCAGAGGCCTGAGGTTGGTCCAGTTCCCCTTTATCCTCCCCCAGAAACAGCGCTCCTGGGAGTGCAGGGGTTTCAGATGGTCTGAGTCCCCGTCCCAGCCGGGGGGGCTCCAGGTGGTCTGTGGCTCTTGGGGCTCAAACACCGACCGTGGGTTTGTTCCCCCTGAGCGGGTGGCTACGTCAGGGATGTTCTCAGTGTGACTTTCCAGTAGTGAAAGTCCCGGCTCCTGCCTCAAACACTGGGCGCAGCCGGTGAGCTGGGTCCCGGCCATGCCATGCTGTCCAGCCCTGTGTGGGCTTGTGGGGCCGTGCAGGGCAGCTCCAGGGCAGCTCTGGTCACAGCCTTGTTTCTGGAGTCAGAGCCGGATCCACTGAGCCACAGCAGAACTAGAGCAAAGGGCTCCAACCTTGCCAGGGACCTGAGCTTTGGGTGACTGTCCCCAGGGACTCTGCCAGAGGTGGACCCAGCCCTCATGCCCAGGCTGGGCTCAGGCTCGGCCAGCTGCAAGCTGCAGCACCGGCTCAGCCTGGTCCCAGCTCCCTGATGGGCACGCTGGGTGGTTCAGGCCAGGCCACTTCCTGTGGGGGGAGCAGCGTTCCCTACAGGAAGTCACTCTCCCTTGTCTCCGGCTATTTGTGAGTGTGTTGTGACCAAGTGTCTGAGAGCCCTGCCCCTTTGGAGGAGTGAGGATCAGTGACCTCTGAGCTGCTGGATGGCCTGAAAAATCACAGAAGGCTGGCAGGGACCTCAGGGGTCAGGGAGTGTCACCCGGAGGATGGGATCGCGGGCGCCTTGCCACCTAGCTTTTAGGTGGCTGATCATATCTAGTGACTTCTCAGCGTGCAGAGTGGACACTGGCTTGAAATACAAGAACCAGCCCTCCACGGGGCACAGTGATGCTGGCCACTTGTAAGGACAGCAGAAACCTCTTCCTTCTTGAGTCTGAGTACATTGGCAGAGGCCTCAGAGAAGGGGCTGAACACAACCCAGCCCTCTGACCACTCCAGCCTGGCCTGCCCTTGGCTGGACTCATGCGGGGACGCTCAGCCTGGCTTCTGGCCCCTCCCTGCCCTCCCCTGACCCTTCAGATTCTGTTCTAGCCCCATGGCTGGCAACGGGCTGAGCTGGGCACCTCAGGGACACTCTCCCGGTCATCTCATCCTGTGAATGCTGATGTCCGCAGCTAAGGCCCTGGGCCTAGGTCGGGCCTTCTGAGCACTGCCCCTGGTCCTGGCCCTCCTTCAGCCCCTGGGACCTTGGGGACACGAGGAGAGGAAGAGCATGTCTCTCACCAGTGCCAGCCTGGAAGGCGTCAGGACCTGAGACTATGGGCGGCCTGCTGCCCCTGAACTGGGGACACTCAGAGCTCTGCCAGCAGAGGGGCTCAGGATGGCAGGGCAGGATGGCAGGGCAGGGCGGCAGGGCAGGGTGGCAGGGGCCTGGGGTCACCCTCTCCATGCTCCTTACCCTGCTGCAGGGTCTGAGGACCCAAGGCCCCCAGACACTCCTGCACCCCTTGAGTTGGGGGCTGCCCGGGGCCCTTGGGAGGTCCCCATGAGGGGGGTGCCCCATCCGACTCTTCCCTCTGCTCCCTGCCCCTCACCACAGGGCTCAGTTGATGTGGGCGGTGGTGACTGGCCAGCTGAGCCGGCTCCAGTGCAGAGGGCAGAGCCCCGAGGAGGGTCCTGCTGGCTTCTGCCACCAGCACCAGTGGGCACCAGGGCCTGGGGACACTGGATTGGGGGAAGGTGATCTTGATCTAGCTTCACTGCAGCCGTGGGAAGCAGGGTGGCCTGGTGCCTTGGTGGCCAACCAGCTTCTCGCAGCAGAAGCTGGCCTCCTCTCAAGGAGACGGAAACCCAGTGGGAAGGACAGGAAGTTACCCTCATCTGTCGGTAGATCCAGTCTGTGAACACCGTCATGTTTCCGTACACTCCGGGCCTGTTAGGCTTGGCACACCCAGATCCCCAGCTCGTGTCCCCAATCAACCACCAGACTTCATTCTTCAAAGTGACCAGCGGCCCTCCACTGTCCCCCTGGGGGACACAGCAAGTTACCGAGAGTAGAAAGGCTAGTTGCAACCCTCAGCCCATCTCAGAGCACCCAGAGGGCGCGGGGTCAGGGGTTAGGAGTGGGGGTGCCGTCCGCCCTCCACCCCGGGAGGCAGGCTGCGGCATTAATGGACACAGGCGCCCAGCTCAGCGTGGCCAAGAGGCCGGCTGTCTGTGGTTTAAGTCAGCACACTCCCTCCTGCTGCCCGGCACTTCCCCAGGGAAGGGCTCTTTCCCAGGAAGCCAAGCGCAGGAGGCTCTCATGCTGTTGGTGACCACCAGTCCCCACAGCTGCCCCAGAGCGATATCACCAGGAGGCTTCACAGAGCCCCGCAGAGCATGGACCCTCACAAGGGATCGGCAGGAACTGGCGAGGCTCAGAGTTGAAGAGAAACTGGCAATTACCTGGCAGGAGTCGATGTTGCCCTGCAGGTACCCGGCACAGATCATGGCCGGAGTGATGAGGTTATTGTAGACATATTTGCTGTTGCAGTGTGAGTGCTCAATGAGGTGCACCAGCGCAGCGTTCAGCACGTCCGAGGTCTTCCCTAAGAACAGAGGCATGGACCAGCGGCTCTCAAGGGCGAGTGGATGTCCTTCCCTGAGTGCATGCCTGCTGTCCCCTCCCTCTGCCCATCCTGATCCCAAGCATGGCGTGCTAAGTAGGGTCAGTGTGTTTTTCCCCATTAAGATGGGGCAACGGAGGCACAAAGCCAGGTGAACTGCCTCAGATCATCAACCGCTGAAGAGCAGAACTGAGACTCAAACCAACTGCCCACGCCTTGCCCCGCGCTGCCCCCACGCCCCGCTGGCCTGCATGCCCTGAGCCTTACCTTTCTCATAGGTGGCCCCCCACCCAGAAATCCAGCACGGCTGTTGTGCCTCCAGCATCATGCCAGGATTGGGCAGGCACACGGGCTTCACCCTGTCTGTGCCAAGAGGAGGAAACCATGAGCCCTGGGAGTCCAGCAATGGCCTCAGGCAAGAGACTGCGCCTGGCCTGGCCCTGTGCATAGGCAGCCCCCACCACCCTGCCCCGAGAACCCCGGATGCCTATGTGCCTTGACACCCCCACTGTGTGCCCTGGCAGGCCCCTCTTTCTAAGAGGCGAGAAGTTCCCCTCTGAATCCTGTGACATCGTTGCTCCTAAAAACACACGTTCAGCACAGTGGAGCCTCTGGCTCCTGGCTCCTGGTGGGCTCCCCTGTGAGAGCCCTTTCCCACCTTGAAGGCAAGTTCTTCATGGGGAGGGGGAGGCTCTGCTTCATCTGCACCCACGTGGGGCTAGAACATTCCAGACCTTCGCATAGACTAGTGCGGGGGGCCAAACAGGAAGCTGAGGGGAGGCACTGGTGTAACCCATGATTCTAAAGGACATCACTCCCTGAGTGTACGACTGGCAATGTCTGGAGACAACTTTGATTGTCTCGACTAGTGGATGCTACTGACCTCTAGTGGGCAGAGGACAGGGACGCTGCTAAACGTCCTGCAAGGGCCAAGCAGCTGCACATCAATGAGGAGCAAATCTGGCCATCCCTGCTTCCCTTCCCCACACCAGGGCACTCCTGGCCTCTGCCAAGCCCTCCTCTAGCAGCGCCAATCTGTTCAGTGCCAATCTGTCTTCCCTGACCACGTGTCTCGCTAACAACCAGCATCTCTCTCCTTACAACCTGGCCCAGCACCGCACCACTGAACGTCAGCATCGCTCCGGCCACACGTACCATTGAACGTCAGCGGTGTCTGCAACTTCATAAGCGCAACATCGTTGTTCTTGGTCTTGGAGTCATAATTGGGGTGAGAGATCACTTTCTCGACCCGGTGTCCACTTCCATAGAGCATGGAGGACTGTCTCAGAAGGCCTGCGAATGCCGTCCAGTACCGCGGGCTGTTGAGAGGCCTGGGAGACAGAGGCACAGCACGCCATGTCTCACCCCGCGCCAGACGGTCTTTGAAAACTACAAGCTGGAGCTGCTGCCTAGGCTGAGACGACTCCCCAGAATGCAGAGCAGGACTGGGCAGTGGCGGCTCCACCTATCACCCCCCCCACCCGTGCCCCTCTTTCTGCCTCCAGCTGAGGACTCTGGCTGCTGTGGCTGCTGCACTGGCCCACAAATGGGCCCTGAATCTGCCCTAAAGTTGCAAACCCTGTTTCTGGCAGGACTGGGTCCTATTAACCTTCAAATGTCAGGTCATTTCCTGGTAGACAGCAGGTACTCAAATACAAGTATGCTAATAAACACACTGGGACTCTAATAATAATCGAGACATTCCCTTTATCCAAGGATTTTATTTGGGATCTGAGGGCCCCCAACTGCTAGAGAGCTCTCAGGATCCAGGGGCCTGAAGGGAGAGGCAGAAGGGGACACTCCTGGGCGAGACATGGACACTCCCTGCACCTTTACAGCAGCCCCCGTAGAGCAGGGCACACCTGTGTGATAGGTGCAGACCATGTAGGTCAGAAACACTGAGTGACCCATCCTAGACACACAGCCAGAGGACCGCCAGGCCAGGAGTGAGGCTTCCTGCAACACAGGCAGGTGCCAAAGTAGACACTAAGAAAAGGAAGCGGGCGGGGGCAGTACCTTCCACAACCCCCACGCATCCACCCCTCCCTGCCCGTCTGCATGGGCACAAGGTCCCCGAGTGCATCTGAGGGCTTCTCCTGGCACAAGCATCCGGGAGAGAGGAGGCCCGACAGCAGAGGCCCGGAAGGGCAGGGCCGGGCAGGGCAGGAGGGAGGCTACAGGGATCGGGTCACAGCCATGAGCACTAGGCACCCTAGCTGTGTCGCAGGGCCAGGGCCAGGGCCAGGGGCACTCTGCACACACCTGCTGAGAGTGGACGTGGCCTACCCACACTCAGCCATGCTTCTGGCTGAGAGGTGTCACAGTCTGCCCAGGGCTCATGGTTTCCTCCTCTTGGCACAGACAGGGTGAAGCACACAGGGTGAAGCCCGTGAGCCCCACTCGCCTGTGGATATGAAGGCCTTGGAGCTTCACAGCCCTGAATAAGGCCACAGAGTCTCACTCCAAACCCAGCGTCCTTGCCACCCCCACCACCCGACAACAAGGGACGTGGACATACTCCTCCACACAGTGGGCAGCGGTCACAATCCACTCAGGGGTGATGATGGAGCCTCCGCAGACGTGGATGTCTTGGACGTGCAGGCTGACCTGCCAGGGCCAGTCGCCCAGGTTGGCGTTGGTTCCACCCACGATCCTGCTCTGGCGCCGCAGAAAGGGGCTACCACACTCTGGGGGACAAGCAAAGGTCAGCAGGAAGCCAGCCCAGCAGGAGCCCCCTGGCACCTGGCCCCCAGCCCAATCCTGAAGGCACAGGGCTCCCACCCAGGGGTTCACCAGGCAGGGCAGTCGGCAGGACTGCCACCTCGCATTCCCTGCATTAGGGGTCCAACGAGAGGTGTCACAGTCGACCCTTGGTAGAAGGGAGAGCTCCTGACTCTGCAGATCTCCCCAAGTAGGAGAGTGAGGGGTGACTGAGGGGAGTGAGGAGAGTGAGGGGTGAGGAAGAAGGAGAGTGAGGAGTTGGGTGAGGAGGAGAGTGAGGTGGTGAGTGAGGAGGGAGTGAGGAGGTGAGTGAGAAGGTAAGTAAGAGGGGAGTGAGGAGAGTGAGGGGTGAATGAGGAGG